CAGCTCAGGATTAAACGTCCAACATGCCTGTGATGTCCACAAGAATTTAAAATTTAGAGGAGCCGGACCCCAGTGATGCCAGGGAAGCAGTTGCTTTGTGGATCACTGCAAAAGCAGCTGCTGCTGTGCTGGCCCGGCACAGCGAGAGCTGCAGGGGCTGGCTGCGGGGAGCTGCCGAGAGGAGGCAAGCGGCGCGGGAAGAGCTGTGTGTTGTCGGAGGCAGATCGGCTGCATGAAAGGGATCACTCCAAGGCAGTGAGAGTCTTAAATTCAGGTCGTATTTGTTATTGTCCCCAGAGCATGTCAAAGCAATGCTCTGAATAAGACAACTCTGCCCACGCACAGAGTGAACACACAGACACTTCTCCTACGTGCATATGCATGCACAGCTTCTACCTCCTAATTTTGCCTGAGCCAAGTCAAGCAGACTTTAACCACACCCAAGGAGTTTCCTACATGTTTTTTTTTTTTAAGTAGCTTGATATAAATGCACTAAAGATTACTTCTGTCTGAGTTAATAGGAGTTACCTCAAGCCAAGCAGTAGCGGTGAATTTAAAGTTGTGATGCTAAGAATAGCACTAGAAAATAACCGGGCAAAATAGGTGTTTACTGTTGTACTCAAAAATATCTCAACTAAGGAGTAATTGCTTTTAAAGGCAGAATCTTCTCACCCTAGGTTCACTTAGCAGCAAAAATCAATTTAAACTTCAACCTTTTTTTTTCCCTTCTAAAGTAAGTGGGTGGTGGTGAATAGAGCTACCTTGAATAGATTTCATAATCTATTCTAAGGCTGAGCAAGGAAATATGTATTTTGCATCAGTTCCTCATTTTTGGTAATAAATTTGTCTGTAGTGAAGCAACAGGCCCTGAATTCCTCTTGAAAGATCTTAGCAACAAAGGAGTTGCTGAACAAATTCCTGCCAGCTTATGTGTGGCCAAGATTTCCCCCTGCATTTGTGGGTGGAATGCAAAGAACTTTACCTCCTGAGTCATATATGATTATTGGTTGTAGCGCACTGCATCTTTTTTTGCCCGAGCACATCATTCTCACAGGATGTTTACAGCTGGGAAGAACCTTCTTTAAACTTGTGGGGATTTTTCACATTGGAAAAATAAGTTGTTTTGGAGTTTGATAATTAGCAAGAGTGCCTTAGAAATGGGAAGGAAATGGCTTTATCGTTTGTAAAACCTTTCAGAATTAAAAAAGTCTGTACTAGGATGAAGCCAAAGGTTTTTCAGTGCTTTCCATGGAAAAAAAGAAAGAGTGAACACCCACCCCAAAACAGCCAGCAATGTAACAGTCAGGGAACGTGTGTAGGCTGAAGCAGGCAATCGTTGAGTAGAGTCTTTCTCCCTCTCTGGCTCTGAACTGAGAAACACATCTGATAAACTTTGTGTTAAAACTGACACATTTCTAGACTCAAGTGCCACCCACCTCCTTCACCCAGGAAAAAGCCCTACATCAAGAATTCCCAAGTAAATCAACTATTAAATAACATATTGTTAACTGCCGAGGAACTAAACAAGCTAATCCTATTTTAAAAGATGTTTTGATTAACCATTACAAGACCAAATTCAGAAATGAACTTGCTGTAACTTGTAACTCGTTATCTAGACATAAATCAAAGGGTAAATTCTGTCAGAATTCTCTATTGATTGATATATTGTTCCTGATCTCTTATGCCCAGCTATTTTTCTGTGTTTCAGTCTGTGCTCACTAAGGACCTCCACGAAAGAATGATGGTAACCGTGATCATTGATCTGGCCTTGACTGACCAATTCAGTTTCTTCTTAGTTTGGCCATTTCTCCTTTAGAATGTCAGAGGATGGAGGCAGATTCTCTTGAATTATTTGTTCATTTGCTTTTTGGTTTTCTGTGCTAAAACCTTGATCTTTAATGAATGAGCTTGAAATGACTTAAGTACAGTTTTTCTGCACGATAGAATTTCAAATGCTAGCTTAGTTTGTTTATTTTGACACTCTTATTGCTCCCTTTTTATCTTGATTTTTTTAAAAGCTTATGAAATATGCATGATGCAGGCAAAATAGACTCAGGTGACAATTACTGAATCAAATTGAAGATTCATGCCTTATTCTCAAGGCTGGGACTTGGATATTTGTAAGAGCTTTAGAAGCTGCAGGCAGAGGATTGTGGAGGAAAGCTGCTGGAGGGACAATAGAGGTATGTGCTGCATGAGGAAAGCCCACCTGTGTAAGTAGATAAAGCTTTCTTTATGGCTTCAGTTGAAGGCTACGGCACAGGATCTAAGAGTTATCTGAACCCTTGCTATTACAGGTTGGAAGTTAGTGTCAGTTCTCTGACCTGCTTTCAATAATGAAGTGAAATCTCAGATAACTCTGTCTTTATGAAGCTGCAGAAAACGTTACTGCCCTTTAAGCTTTACAAATAATGTCGGTGAAATTCACTTGAGTGAGGGTATCCATCCTGAACAGGGGAATCCTTGCACACTTTCAGCTTTTCACAGCACAGTTCTAAATGTTCACTTGGCTCAGACCCTCAAGTATAAATTTCTGAAATAGTCATAGTACTTTTTTCAATGTTGCAGTTTGGATTATTTAATAGTGGAACTTATAAGCAACAGGTGAATAAATGGACTCCTGCCAAAAACTAAACTAAACTGCCAGTTACTTACAATCAGGCTAAATTTTACTTTGCAGAAATTCTCTTTTTGTTACAGAATTTGGGACAATAATGGTTTCATTTTGTGTCCCTTACAATGCTGGACACATCATCATGGCTTTCAGCTAGATTTTCCCAGACTCCTATTAACTCTGAATGGTAATTTTCTTTGCAAGTAGACCCTTTGAAATCAACAGTTTGACGTGTCGAGGAACTAGCAATTCTGAGCCTTAATAAATTATAGTCATTGTAGACATTAGTTAGAAAAGTAGGTGCAAGCTAGCAGAAGAAGAAGGATACAGGGAGACGACTGTTTTTTGAATTTTCAGATATTGATTTTTCTGGAGTTTGGACTGGGGAAAGTCAAAATGCAGCTTAATCAAAGTATGCAGGCTACGGTTACTGAAAAGTGTTTCAATTTTTTTTAAACAAATCTGAAATACTCTGCAGAACATAATCTAAAAGCTCTTCCTCTTCGGTCTACTTCGGAATTATTTCTCTTTGTTGTATACAATAAATTGAATTATCTATTCTTACAGACTGATTTGATTGTGAGGATAAGAAAGGCTACATTGTACTCTTAATTAACATGCAGAACAGGCAAAGAACAATGGATGAAAGTTGCATCTATTCTCTGGCTGGGTAAATAGTAGTAAGTGCAGTTGTTCCCTGTTTAGTGCTCAAGGGCAATACACAGAAGTCTTTTTCTTTCTTTGTTTTTTACACTGATCACAGGAACAGGTTTATGAAATGGATGTGCTGCCTGCATCTAAACTGGAAAATCTGGTGTATCCGGGATGGGCAGCAAGACCCCTTGATGTGGCTCGTATTCATGCTGCTGAAAGGTCTTTTCCTGCAGGGCAGGTGGCCGCGTGCAACCCCCGTTGTTCCTGACGGGCAGGAGCTAGCTCCCGCAGCGCGCGGAGCACTTTCCTGGCTCCGGCCGAGAGCGTGCCAGAGCGCCCTAGCGCTCTTTCGCACTTCAGAGGCTGTTCAGCACCCTTCTGGTACTGGGTTATCTACTTGTACGACGGCTGTCTGGCGTTGCTTTTGGGCAGTGCTCTGTCTGCCTGTAGGCTGGGAGTGCATATCCAGCGTTATATTTAGGTTGTGTTCTTGCCAACACGGCCTTGAAATTGTTCTGCCTAGGGGAATTTTCTGCCCACCAACCAGCTTCCAAGACTATGACTAGCTAAGGGTAAGGGATCCACCGTTCGGGTGCTGAACTGTGTGAACTATATCACCTGAGGAGGTGTCCTGGAGGAGTAACGTAGTGCGGCTGCTGTCGTTCAGCCGGAGGGGAACCTGCTGAGCCCGGACGCGTCGGGCGGGGGGAGAGCATGTTGGCCATGCTGCTGCTAACACTGCGCTGCGCGTCGAAGAACAGCAGGGCTTTGCAACCTTTCTGCTTTTACACAGGCAGCGTATCCTACTAATTTTTCTGAGTTACAGTGTTACTTTATTAATGTAAGTAAGTGTACTTATTGATGGTCGAGGCAAAATGTTTCTGCTGCTGCTAAGATTTGGTGCTGATCTCGATGCAGATCCCTT